CACTTTTTTCAGTGCATTGTAACTGTGACCGGTCACTAAATGAACAGTTGTAAGTCAAGGACTACCTGTATTTATGACTGTTGCAGCATCCTGGGATGATTGGATTGCCATTTGTGACCTTCCCAGCTGGCTTCCGACAAGGAAAGTTAATGTGGGAAGCTGAATTTGCTTAAGGACCACATGGTTTGCTTAACAATTGCTGTGATTCACTTAATAACCATGTCAATAAAGGTCAAAAAGTCAGGCATGAGTCACTTAGCAACCATCTTGTGGTAGTGGATGTTCTGGCCATAGAGTAGAGTAGAGTAGAACAGAACAAAATAGCAGAGTTGGGAGGAACCTTGGAGGTCTTCTAGTCCAACCTCCTACTCAAGCAGGAGACTCTATAAAATTTCAGACAAATGGCTACCCAATCTCTTCTTAAAAACTTGGAGATTCAGGTTGTTCCACTGATTAATTGTTCTCATTGTTAGGAAATTCCTCCTTAGTTCTAGGTTGCTTCTCTCCTTGATTAGTTTCCATCCGCTGCTTCTTGTCCTGCCCTATAGTTATAAGTAGAGGACTATATATTTCAAGGGAAAGCATATTCAAAAACACATATACCGTATATGTTTAGTAAGTGAAAAGCCTCATGAGGTCTTGCAAGGTTTACCTATCAGGTTGCTAGGAGCTGACACTCAGGTGATGGCACGTAATCCCACCAGTCAAATGTGCAAAAACACAGCGAATGGTTTTCAGGGAACCTTCAGGCAAAAGAAGGCAAACCAATCATGAATTTGGGAAATAAACTGCAGTTGGAAAAATAGGCATCCTTGAACCATGCCGAAATGGCCAGCTTCAGTCATCTCTAACTGGAAATTGTGAATTCCATCTTTTTAAAAATGTATTGATATTTATATAGTCATTGGGTCTCTGGAGTTTCTCAGTCATCCAAGTCATGGTTGCCCTAAAGGTGCTATTTTTTCAAAAGGCAACTGGACTTCCTTTGTTTTTTCTTGAAGACGTTTCCCTTCTCATCCAAGAAGCTTCTTCAGTTCTTCAATATTTATCAAGGCAAGCAAGAATTGAAGAAGCTTCCTGGATGAGAAGGGAAACGTCTTCAAGAAAAAACAAAGGAAGTCCAGTTGCCTTTTGAAAAAGCACTTTGGGGATTCATATAGTCATCCATTTTATATCAAACTCCCAATGAAAATAGCTCCCAATTAAAACAATATCTAAAACCACACAAAAAATTTGTTAAAAGCATAAACATTAATTAAACGAATGCAAAGGAGGCATGATGGAAATGGCTGGGTTTTCTTTGTTTCAATGGCTTACCAAAGATCAATTGAAACCTTTAGACAGACTAGCAAAAATATTATTAATAATAATCACAACAGGGAGAGAAAAATTAAGAGCAAAGTTGGATATTGGAGAGGCTTGTGTAACCTGCAATTACTGTTAATGGCCATGGTGTTCATTTATTAGGTTATTTAAAAAGTGCCATTTCTGTATCAAAACAAGGGTCCTTTTTTCATGAAGCTATGTTTTCTATGAAAAGCATTTTTAGCTCTGGTGTTCCTAATTTTTCAGAGTAGAAGGGAAAAATATGCTTTCTGTTTTGTTCTAGTTTGCATGCTTTTAAGAGTAACAGATTAGGGTCTAATCTAGATGCCACATTGTTGGCTCCAGCCTTCATCATCCATAGATTAATTTGAAATCATGATGAAACTTTGGCAACTTTTAAGATGCATGGATTGCAACTTCCAGAACCATGGAATTCTGGGAGTTGAAGTCCAACCATCTTGAAATTGCCAAGGTTGGAAAAACAGTGACGTCATCCAGTATGTGCAAAGGAAACCAGACATTTTCCTTCTTGGTGTGGAAAATATTTGCATTCAACACATCACCTAGTAAATAACTTTACAGGTACTCCTTAACATTTCTGTTGCTAGGCAAAACAGTTCTGTAAACTTTCCCTCAATTTATGACCCTTCTTGCCGCAGTTGTTTAGCGAATCACTACAATTTTTAGTTTTTAACATGGTCAATTGAATCTGGCTTCCCCGTTGCCTTTGCTTGTCAGAAGGTTGCAAAAGGGGATGACATGATCTTGGGACACTGCAAATGTTATAAATATGAATCAGTTGCCAAGCATCCAAATTTTGATCATGCGAGCATGGGGAGCATATCTGGATTTCATTCTGATTCATTACTGCGCAACCTTGGATAGGATTTGGGACTTCAAATTCTTTTGACAGATACTATTGATGATGTTATCTAGATGGGTCATGAGATGTCTGCAAGAAAACACCGAACCTTAGAAACCGAACAGTTTAGCCCTGAAGTACAGGCATTCTCTTCTATTTATTTGTGTTGCATGGTAATTCTTTCAAACAGTGAATAGAAACAAAATGGTGTTAACGTTTATATATAAATTTTACTTGATATAAATAAGATATACTGGAATAAGGAGAAATTCCAAAACAATTCCAATGGACAAGCAGCAACAGAGGTTCAACAATGGATGGTCTTTCTTAGCAAGATAGCTTCCCTATTATTTATTTATTTATTTATTTATTTATTTGATTTGCCAATTGTTTACAAGATAATAAGTATAAGTGTATACATAGTTGTGAATACATGAAATGGGTACATATAAGAAAAATAAAAGAATAAGAGAAACAATAGGACAGGGACGGTAGGCACGTTGGTGCGCTTATGCACGCCCCCTACAGACCTCTTAGGAAAGGGGTGAGGTCAATAGTAGACAGTCTAAGGTTAAAGTTTTTGGGGTTTGGCGAAGAGACTACAGAGTCGGGTAGAGTATTCCAGACATTGACCACTCTATTGCTGAAGTCGTATTTCCTGCAATCAAGTTTGGTGCGGTTTACTTTGAGTTTGTATCTATTGTGTGCTCTTGTGTTGTTATGGTTGAAGCTGAAGTATTCACTGACAGGTAGGACATTGCAATGTATGATTTTATATACCATGCTTAAGTCAGACCGAAGACGGCGTAATTCAAGGTTTTCTAGTTCTAGAATTTCAAGTCTGGTGGCATAAGGTATTCTACAACGAGTAGAAGAGTGGAGAACTCTTCTTGTGAAATATTTCTGGACTTTCTCAATTGTGCTAATATCAGATACGTAATGTGGGTTCCAGACTGATGAACTGTATTCGAGTATTGGTCTAGCAAATGTTTTGTATGCTCTGGTTAGTAGTGTGATATTACCAGAGAAAAAGCTACGTAGGATTAGGTTAACAACTCTTATTATATGTGTAATATACAACTCTTATTATATGTGTAATATATTCACAGGTTTCACATATTGCAATAAGACATTGTTAGTTTTATCATGGTTCATTTAATAAGCCACAATTGGCTACATTGCCAGAGCACAATAAGCCAGAATGAAAGTGCAAAACAGAGTCATTTGTCTTCAAAATATAGCAATAGCAACAGCACTTAGGATTATATACTGCTTCACAGTGCTTTACAGCCCCCTCTAAGCGGTTTACAGAGTGAGCATCTTGCCCCCAAGAATCTAGGCCTTCATTTTACCAACCTCAGAAGGATGGGAAGCTGAGTCAACCTTGAGCTTGTCAAGATTGAACTGATGACAGACAACAGAATTAGCCTGCAATACTGCACTCAAATCACAGCGCCACCACAGCTCTTATTCTGGTTTTAGTCTTAATATCCTGGTTTTCCTAAAGGATGTTTCATTTTTCACATAGTCAAACCACATCTGGAGCATCATGAATTCCTCCTATTCTGGAAAATAAACCTTTGGAAATGTACAAACTGCCTTAGATAATCAGAAGAAGAAAAAATGATACATTCAGAGATTAACCATTCTCTTTTCACATAATTTCAAAATACATTTCTAACAACACACATATATTAATTTTATTCTTAGTGTATGTTCATACATTTTCATGCTGATGTAAGTAATCCCATTCCTTACGCTACATGAATTCATGCAAGAACCATCCTATGGGTAGAAATTGCAAGGGCGGAATTGTTTTATAAGAATTATATTAATAATTGTCACACAGTCTGTTATATTCTTCTGCAAGGATACATTTTGAAAATTACCATTCTATAAGAGGCTTAACAGAGAGAACAAAATAACAGGGCTGGAAGGGACCTTGGAGGTCTTCTAGTCCAACCCCCTGCTCAAGCAGGAGACCCTATACTATTTCAGACAAATGGCTGTTCAATCTCTTTTTTAAACTTCCAATGTTGGAGCACCCACAACTTCTGGAAACAAATTGTTCCACTAGTTAATTATTCTCCCTGTCAGGAAATTTCTCCTTAGTTCTAGGTTGGATCTCCTCATGATTAGTTTCCACCCGTTGCTGCTTGTCCTGCCCTCTGATGCTTTGGAGAATAGCTTGACTCCCTCTTCTTTGGGGCAGCCCCTGAGATATTGGAACATCGCTATCATGTCTCCCCTAGTCCTTCTTTTCATTAAACTAGACATACCCAGTTCCTGCACCTGTTATAACCTCCAGTCCTTTCATTGTGTCATCCAACCAACACTGAAGTAACACAATGTCTGTCCTTTGTCATAACACAGACTTAGTCAAGAAGATATTATAAATCAGGGGTCCCCAAACTTGGCAACTTTAAGACTTGTGGACTTCAACTCCCAGAATTCTCCAGCCAGCAAAGCAAGCAAAGCAAAGCTGGCTGGAGAATTCTGCGAGTTGAAGTCCACAAGTCTTAAAGTTGCCAAGTTTGGAGACCTCTGCTATAAATCATTAGGGCAGAAATGGCATTATGGTTCCCAGAATTTTCAGACTATCACAAAGAACAAAACGTCCGGAATGTAGATGGTTGGGAAACTCTGCTGCAAGGCAATCTTTAATTCCCACTGAGGATCTGTAAGAGTTTACACAAACGCTAATGGAAAAAGCTCCTGAGTTAACTATTTATGACAGTATTATTATTATTATTTTCATCTGTTTCCAGGAAAACCCTGCTGTGACGAGAGAAAAAAATCAGTGAGAGGAATATCACTTTGTATCACCCTTATGGTCTGAGGACTCCTCCTGTTGAAGGACAGGAGCAATGCTCGTCACATTACTGTAGGATGGAGGAATGGCCACCGAAGACAAGCTCTGAGAATTATTGGACTGGCTGCCTTCATTTTCACTCAGGCTGAACACAGATGAGTTTTCCTCTTCTGGAATATTCTCCAAGGAGATGGTTACAAAGGGTTCCTGAGGCGCTACCCTTCCTGCACGCTGGAAAAGATACATCCGATAAGCTCTTTGAATGATGATGGCAGACTCATCCTGCTTTCTCTTGGGAGTTGTCACGATCGGCTCATAGGCAATCTTCTCTGGATATTTTTCTTCTATTTGGGACTCAAACGAGTCCATTTCTCCAGATTCTCCCAGCACCCTTTTGGTAAAAGCAAACAAAATATCCAGGCAGTGGATTTTATTCCCATTGACTATCGGAAGGTCCATGGACAACAACTGCTGACTATTCGGTTTTGGTATCCGCAAAGGTTCTGCCAGGGCATCTGCGAAGTTGGAGAGTGCCGAGTAAGAGATAAACTGGGTTGCTTTGGGGTCAAATTTTGCCCAGATCTCATAAAAGATTTCAAAGTCATCATCGCCCAGTGGCTCTGTGCTCTCTTCGGTGGCAACGTTCAGATTCTCGATGATGACAGCAATGTACATGTTGACTACAATCAGGAACGAAATAATGATGTAGCTGACAAAATAGGCAATGGCCACCTTGCTGTTGACACAGGGGCTGTTCTGTGTGGCGGATTTGATGTTTGGAGCACACATATACCTGTCCTGGTGGAGGAGCATCGGTCCCAGAAGCTCATCCCAGCCACCGGACGTGGTTATTTGGAAGAGGCAAAGCATGCTGTTGCCAAAGGTCTGGAAGTTGAAAATGTCGTCAATCCCTTGCAGCCAACTCGCGCAGGAGAAATTAGCCATGCCAAATATAGCGTAAATGAACATGATCAGGAAGAGGAGGAGCCCGATGTTGGTGAGAGCAGGGAGGGACATCAGCAGGGCAAAAAGAAGGGTGCGCAGCCCTCTCGCGCCTCGGATCAGCCTCAGGAGGCGGCTGATACGGATCACTCGAATGACACGCAGGATGGTTGGCGGGAAATTGAGGCGTCGCCAAAGTTGGGTTGCTGCAAGGCCTGGGGGTGGGGGGAGGGGAAAAAAAGCAGGCCTGCAATGAGTCTTTCAATTTAACTTAAAACTCTATTCTTTCATGCAGGTAGTCCTCAGCTTACAACAGTTTGTTTAGCGACCATTCAAAGTTACAATGGCACTGAAAAATGTGATTTATGACTGTTTTCCCCCCAGTTATGACCTTTGCACCATCCCTATGGTCACATGATCAAAATTCAAATGTTTGGCGACCGGTTCATAGTTGTGACCATTGCAGTGTTCCCAAGATCATGTGATCCCCTTTTGCGACCTTCTGGCAAGCAAAGTCAATGGGGGAGCCAGATTCACTTAACAACCCAGGTTACTAACTTATCAACTGCAGTGATTCACTTAACAACTGTGAAAAGAAAGGTCATAAAATGGGGCAAAACTCACTTAACCAATGTCCCATTTAACAACAGGAATTTTGGCCTCAATTGTGGTCGTAAGTCGAGGATTACCTGCACTAAACCTCGAATTACAACCATTTGTTTAGGAACTATTCAAAGTTAGGACTGCGCTGAAATAAGTGTCTTATGACTGTTTTTTCACACTTATGACTGTTTCAGTTGCCCACAGTCACATGATCAAAATCCGGACATTTGGCATGTATTTTTGATGCTTGCCGTGTCCCAGGGTCCCTTCTAACAAGCAAAGACAACGGGGAAGGCTACTAATTTTACCACCATGGCTACTAAGTTAACAGCTACAGTGATTCAGCTAATGATTGTGGCAAGGAAGGTTGTAAAATAGGGCAAAATTCAATTAACGGCTATCTTGCTTAGCAAAGAAAATTTGGGGAATCACTTGTGGTCATAAGTCAAGGCCTACCCATCTCCTCAGCCTTCCAGAAGCATCTGAAAATTTGGTTCGGCTTGGGGACCTTGATGGGAATCACTAATGAAGTAATAGACTGTATCCCTGTGCAATTCGTGCTCATTGTAGTTTTTATCTGATTTTTGTCATTACTTTCAATGCTGTTATATTTATGATTTTTATTGCACTGCAAGCCAGATTCATTCAAGGTGGATAGTGAGACGAGGCAGCATATGCATTTAATTAATTGATTATTTTTTTAATGATGGGTAATGGTTGGGATCCGGCCCAACGGAGCAACTTGGAGGATTATTTTCCTAAAATGTGTTTCACAGACAAAGAGGACCCAGAGATCCATTGCCTGAGGTTTGCTGCTATGACAATTTGCTTTTTCCAAATTCTGAATTATTTCTCTTCCATGCAACACAACCAATTCTTGCAAGCGTGCATTCCTCATTATATTATATACCTGTATTATACAGGTAGATGAAGTTACAACAGCACTGAAAAAGAATAACTTATGGCCGTTTTTCGTATTTACGAGCATGGCTGCATCCCCCATGGTCACATGATCAAAATCCGAGGCCTGGCAACCGACTCGTATTTATGACGGTTACAATGCCCCTGGGTCACGTCATCCCCTTTTGTGACCTTCTGGCAAGCAAAGTCAATGGAGAGGCCAGATTCACTTCACAACTGTGTTACTAACTTGACCACTGCAAAAGCTCACTTCATAACCATAGCAAAAAGGTTGTAGAATGGGACAAAACTCACTTAACAACTGCCTCACTTAACAAAATGAATTTGGACTTAACTGTGGTCATAAGTTGAGGACTCATGTACATGTGAAGTGAAAGTTTATGACTGTAAATAACTGTGCCATGTCAAATATTACCTGCCTTGTAGCTTATTAGCATTGGCAAGCAATGAACCTTGTAAAGCAAAAAAAAAAAAGGTCGACTTACTAATGATTGAAAGAATGACAACCACCAAATCAAATATGTTCCAGGAGTCTTTGAAGAAATAAAGCCTCAAAGCCAACAGTTTCATCACACACTCGCCAGTGAAGAGGGCCACAAAGACACAGTTGATCTTCTCAAGAAGTTGGTCAGCAGCCACATCTTGACCTTCGTATTCCACGGCCATGACCACCACATTCAAGAAAATCAGGCTGATAATGAACAGTTCAAATGCTTGCTTGTTTACGATATCAAAAAGTAATCCTTGGAACTGGTTCTGCGGAAGGGAGGGAGGATAAGAGAGGAAGGGAAGGAAGGGTAAGAAAGAGAAAGAATGAAAGGAGAGGGAGGGAAAGAAGGAAGCAAAGAAGGAAAGGAAGAAGGGACAGAGGGAGGAAAAGAGAGGGGGAAAGGAAAAGAGAGGAAGGGAGGAAAGAAAAGAGGGAGGGAGGAAAAGGGAAGGAGGGAGAAAAGAAGGGATAGGAAAAGAGAAGAAGGGAGGAAAGAAAAGAGGGAGGAAGGAAAAGGGGAGGAAAGAAGGGACAGGAAAAGAGAGGGAGGGAGGAAGAGAGAGAGAAAGGAAGGAAAAGAGAAGTGGGGAGGGAGAGAGGGGTGAAAAGCAGGGACAGGAAAAAGAGAGGGAGGGAGGAAAAGGAGAGAAGGAAGGAGAAGCGGGAAGGGAGGAAGGGAGGGTGGGAGGGAGGGAGGGAGGAAAAGGAGAGAAGGAAGGAGAAGCGGGAAAGAAGGGAGGGAGGGAGGGAGGGAGAAGGAGAGAGGGAGGAAAATGTTAGTGCCAAGATTCCAAAATAGTTCAAATGGTTACACCAAGTTCTTTGATAATTATTTATCCAAATCTGGAAGTCACTAATAAACCTAACAGAACCAGGAAGACAGAAAGGGCTATACCTGAGGAAGTCCCAAAAGGCTCCAAGGAGATGTTCCTATTGGTGCTGCTGCCTCAAGTGAATTAAGTTTCTTTATGATTCCTCTATGAGGAAACTGCCCATGAGATTTGGCTGGTCGAGTTCAAGACATTTGATTGCCTCCTTCCCGCCTGGCTGCCAAGGATTAGCCTGAGAGGCAGTTGGGATGTATTTTATTTCCTTTTTGCAGGTAATAAGGAAAAGAAGTTTTTTTTTTTCCCTACAGCATTCACAGCAGTTCCGGGGAACAAATAATCCTAGTACAGTGCTTCCCCAAATTTTTCTTTCATTATTGAAAATTGCTTATTGGAAACACCTTTTTAGGCAATTAGGTAAAATATTAAGGGCACAGGGGAAAAAAATGGGTTTACAGTACCCAAAGAAAAACTACTTTTATCCTATTTGGGGTAATTTACTCCAGTTTGGGAAGCACCTCCTTCACTGAAAGCCTTTGAAGGCAGGACAAGAAGCAATGGATGGAAACTAATCAAGGAGAGAACCAGCCTAGAACTAAGGAGGAATTTCCAGACAGCGAGAACATTTTTGTACTTTCTTATTAACCAGCTGTAAGGAATGCGGACTGGTTGGCAGCGACCTCAGCATTTTCCCTGTGATTCAAGATGGCAGATTTATTGCAAATTAATCTGAACTGACTTTGGCACAGTCTTTCAGAATGTTGTTACTTTTACTTAAGTTTTATAAGAATGCAACTATAGTCACCTGGTCATTTAGCGATTGTTTGAAGGTCTGATGCATCGACAGGTATTTACAACTCCAATCCTGATGGCTGACTTTTCCACAGTCATTTGGATGCTTGGCAATTGGCCTGATTTACAACTTTTTACGATCCCACAGATATTTCTGGTTTTTCTTTGAAGACGTTTTGCTTCTCATCCAAGAAGCTTCTTCAGTTCTGACTGAATGGTGGGGAATGGGAGGATTTATACTCCTTGCAGGCAGCTGGTCATTTTATAGAATTGTCCATTCCCCACCATCCAGTCGCAGCTGAAGAAGCTTCTTGGATGAGAAGCAAAACGTCTTCAAAGAAAAAACAGAAAGTCCAGTTGCCTCCTGAAAAGAAAAGCATTTTGGGGACAACTATGACCTGGATGACTGAGAATTTCCATAGAATTTTACAATTACATTTGGTGCTTTGGCCGACAACTGACATTCATTTTCAGTTTTCCGTGGCCCAGTGGTTAGAATGCAATACTGCAGGCTACTTCTGCTGAACCGGCTGCCACCAGTTTGGCAATTCGGATTTCATCAGGCTCAAGGTTGACTCAGTCTTCAATCTTTCTGAGGTGGGTAAAATGAGGACCCAGATGGTTGGGGACAAGAGGCTGACTCTATAAACTGCTTAGAGAGGGCTGTGAACAGTGGTGGGATTCAAAAAAAATTTTACTACCGGTTTTGTGGGTGTGGCTTGGTGGGCGTGGCAGGGGAAGGATACTGTAAATTCTCCAGTCAGAGGTGGGATTTTCTGGTTCTCCGAACTACTCAAAATTTCTGCTACCGGTTCTCCAGAACTGGTCAGAATCTGCTGAATACCACCTCTGGCTGTGAAGCACTGTGAAGCAGTATATAAGTCTAAGTGCTATTGCTATTTCAGCAAAACTGCCCCATAGCAAACCATGGGATCGCTTAATGACCACTGTGTTCATTTAATGACTGCAATGTTCACTTAATGTCTATGGTAGCTACTTTACAACTGCTCCATTTGCTTAATGATCACCAAAGAAAGATCGTAAAATTGGGTTAGTCATGAGTTATAACCTTAACAAAAAGAGGGCTGTAAAAATATTCACATCCCGGACATAAACTGTTTCAACTCCTACCTTCAAAACGACGCTATAGAGCACTGCACACCAGAACAACTGGACACAAGGACAGTTTTCCCCCTGAAAGCCATCACTCTGCTAAACAAATAATTCCCTCAATACTGTCCAACTATTTACTAAGTCTGCATTACTATTACTATTAATCTTCTCATCACTCCTTATCACCCATCCCCTCCCACTTGTGACTGCATGACTGTAACTTTGTCGCTTGTATCCTTACGATTTTTACTTACTGTTTCCTAGTATAATTTGATTGTTTATTGTATCCTCTGACTATTATTAAGTGTTGCACCTTATCATTCTTGATGAATGCATCTTTTCTTTTATGTACACTGAGAGCATTTGCACAAAGACAAATTCCTGTGTGCCCAATCACACTTGGCGAATAAAGAATTCTAATTCTAATCTAATTATAACATGCAGCCCTTATTACGGCCATAACTCCTGTTCTATTTGTAACCTATTGAATTATAGCAAAAGCACTTAGACTTACATATTGCTTCACAGTGTTTTACAGGCCTTTCTAAGCGGTTTACAGAGTCAGCCTATTGCCCCCAACAATCTGGGTCCTCATTTTACTCCCCTCGGAAAGATGGAAGTCTGAGTCAACCTTGAACTGGTCAGGATCGAACTCCTGACAATCGGTAGAGTTAGCTTGCAATACTGCATTCTAACCACTGTGCCACCACGGCTCATGCAGGGGAAAAAAATGTTTTACCAAAATTTCTGAAAAGTCTTTCCAAGTTGGTAATAATGCAAATGCATTGATGTTTGCAAGGGCCTTACCAGAGGTCGTGGAATAGTCTTATGTGGTTTCTTGGTACCAAGCTTTTTTAGTGCATTGTAATATTTCTTTTGATCCTCTGACAAAAAGATGAGTTCTCCACCTAGGTATAAGAGAATAATAACATTGCTATTAAATTTCTAAAATATATTTTTATCTGCATCTATTTATCTCTGTTCAAAAGACAAGAATTGTCCAAAGCCAACTAAACAGCTAGTACCAACAAATAGAATTTCAACAGACAAAGCTCTTTACAACTTGAATATTTACTAACTCGATGTTAAAGATGGATGGATACGTCACCTTCTAAAATATACTCTTTAATTTAACTGGAAAAAGTTCCTGAATTTGGGTACAACTATCCTAGAGTTCTACAACGTTAGTGGTAATTGTGATATAATAAGAATAGAACTTTGTGGTTCTTTAAATGAAATACTTTTTTTCTCACAATCTCTTTGTGCACTCCATAAAGTCATTTTTATTGCTTTTTTGTTTCTAGAAGTCAAAGTGACTTGTAGTCACTTTTGTTACTTCTGTTGCTTGGAGCTGCTTAATTTACTTTGTGACTCTAATGAAACAGAGACACTGTCTAAACTAAAATATGTCTTCTGTTTGGATTTTCTAGGACATGTCATCTGATTGACTGTATGGCCTAAAAGATTAGAGAATAAAAGTGCTAGCTAAACTACTAAAGATAGCGCTGTCAGTAAGTGAACCGTTGATGGTGGTTACTAAGAAACCAGTCCAAAAGCATCTCTGGACACCTACAGGCTCCGTGAGTTAAGGAAGTAATCACTAAAAGAACAGAAAGTTTTCCTTGCACAATCTACGGAAATTAAGGCGATCCTGTTCTTTGAGGCAGTTCTAATAGTCTGGTGCCTCAAAACTTCTAATTGGTTTTGCAGCAAAAGGTTAACCCAACCTGACTTTCCGCAGACTTTCCAACTAAGATTGTACAGTGGTAAGGCAATACAGGTAGTCCTTGACTTACACCAGTTCATTTAGCAACATTCAAAGTTACAAAGGCACTGAAAAAAAATAATGACTTAGACAGCCCCATGATCAAATGATCCAAATTCAGATGCTCAGCAGCTAGTTCCTATTTATGACCGTCACAGTGTGCCTGGGGGAATCACATAATCCCCTTTTGTGACTTTCTGACAAGCAAAGTCAGTGGGGAAGCCAGATTCACTTAACAACAGTGTTATTAACTGCGGTGATCCACTTAGCAATTTAGCAAGAAAACTCATAAAACGAGTCAAAACTCACATAACAAATATGTAACTTGGCAACAGAAGTTTTGGGCTTAACTGTGGTTGTAAATCAAGGACAACCTGTATATAAAATGAGAGCAAGGTGCATTAGCTGTTGGGGATTATTCTCTTTCTATAAGAATCTTTCCCAGGACTATATTCAGCTGCCATATTTCCTATGTCTTCCGTAAAACACACCACACTGACACACTGCCATTGCATACACTTGAAAGAGTTTGTAACTGTTTGCCTTCATGCGCCTTGGTTGTCTTTTTATGTTAGATACTTATCTTTTTTCTTTGCTGGTTAAAATTATCAATAACCACACCAATGAAGAGGTTCAGCATGAAGAAGGATCCAAATATAATAAAAACCACAAAGTAAACGTATGCATATACGTTGTTTTCAAAACATGGCTGGGTGGAATTCTGAAATAAGATCAAATATATATAAGTAAGTAAAAATAAAAACAGGCTAATTTAAATCTGATGTTAATATAATAATAATAATAATAATAATAATAATAATAATAATAATAATAAT